CTGTCAAGAAACATGCATTCTTAAACAAATGAAGGGGAAAGAGAATATCTACCCTCTTGAGAAGAAATGGATTGAGAGCCAAAACAAACAAAAACATAACAGATGTAATAATGCTTTAAGGAAATCCACTGTCTCACATACATAAAACTTAATGATGAAGTTTAGTTACAGAAAAAACGTTTACCCCTGAGGTTCATTTTCCATTTTCAACTAATGTACAGTCACACAAAACTATTTGTGAAACGGTTCATACCGTGTCCTTTCTGATCTAGTTCTCCTTGAAACACATGACTTAATGTTTCACAGATACCAAACTCCACAATCCAGCTCAAGCACTTTTAGTGAAGTAACCGAGATCTCAGCTTCAAACGTTGGTGAGATATGGCAAAGATTGACTGCCATGGAAATTTACCTGGTTCTGTGCTTTACATACCCAAAGTCAACAACAACAAAAATAATAATAACAAGCAAAGTATAAATATTACAGGCCCCTGTGCTGCAGGTACATGTACATAATGCTAACCAGAGGAACAAGGGCAGCACTATAAATCCCTTTCTTTCATGTACATAAAAAGTAAGGCAGGATACTTATTACAAGCAATTCACTGCTGTACCTCCACCGGGCAGGAATACCAAAAATATACATAGAGTAGTAACTCTGTACACGATGAGACACCATGCTACTCATCTAAATAAATCCAAGACAGTGCAAGATCAGTACCCTGTCTAATAAATATTGACTAGGTAGTTATTTAGGGCAATTTATTCCTCGTCCGTTTCATGGTTAACAGTTGAAAAATCATTGTTTGATTTAAGTATGTAAAAATATGTACAAGATACAAAGCTCCTCAGAATAAGTCTTGGGGATGGAACTTGCTTCTGGCTAGAAGTGGCATTAAATTTACACCGTTATTAAAACACAGGTAAAATGGTTAAATCTTTATACAGAAGGCAGACAACCAAGATTTTTTTGTGGTATATGATGAAAGTATGGAGAAAGAAAGAATATCTGTACTGGCTCAAGGTGTCCCTTTTTCTCTTTCATCTTTTGTTACTTCAAAATCTAAAATCATAAACCTTAATAAATTGATCAGAAGAGTTGAAAACACAAAGGATTTCTCAAAAATATCATACATGAAAAAAATATATCAGTATTTCATCAGACAATATAAAATGAAAGTATACACTGAATTGCAATGTACAATAAACTGTACACTGAAATTATCTATACGCTAAGTTGCACTAAGTTACACCAACACCACTTACAAGTCTATAATTAATACCAAAGTCACTAACACTTAAATTACCTGTTTACTTGATACACGGATACCTCACATTTATGTAAAACAGTAATGTACAGGTTGTAGTGACCTCAAAATAATCAACTCCTCCCAAACAAATATATCAAACTGTCAGGTTTGACATTTGAGGATTTGCAAAAAGCTAGATCATTACTAAATAAGTTCTTTTCTTGGTGATTGTGTCCAATGTTCATACAGTGGAAAACTTATAATTTACATAGTTACAATTTTTTTAAAAATTCTTGATGGCGTTCTTCAAACTATGCCATAAAACCCTTACTAAGAAGTTTAACCTGCAGCTTCAAATTTAAGAGTACATTTCCATGAAAAAATCAAATAAAATTACAACTGAACGGATGTCATCAAAAATACCTTTAAAACATTTACTAGACAAACTTTAAACAAGTAATGATAAATTTGTAGAATTGTCAAAAGTGAACCTTGACCCTTTAACCTTTACTGATGATCACTACAATATGATCGGGTGTAAAACTTGATGTCATGATAGTATGGGGTAAATATGAACCAAATCTAATGAGAGATTCTTAAGGTATGACACTGACTCGAAACAGGGAGAACAGACATGAGTAAGACCTATAAAAATATAAGGGCCATACCAAAAAAATATATTAATCAGATAATTTAATGACTGATAATAATATTTGGCAATATACTAATGGGTACTTTGTGATACAACTAGAAACAAACATCTTTTTCATCTATACCAAGTTCCTGGTAAAGTTGGCTTCACAAATATACGATAGAAATGCAATTGGGTAATACAGAAATACATGTATCTAACACAAAAATACATGTATCTAACAAAACACCATTACAAATGAAACCTCCATTCAACTCTAGCCCTTCGTAATGGTAAACAAAAAAAAATCAAGAGAGTAATAATAAAAAAAACATGAGATACAATCAGACAATAAAAACATTAACCTAAACACTTGACCATGTGATTGAACAAATTAAAAGAATTAAGAGTATACAAACACAACTTCTAGTTTGTACATGTAATGAACAAAATATTACAAGCTATAGAAAACAAATATCTATAATAATGAGCAAGTAAAAAAAAAGCCCTATCCATCACCCTCAGCAATACAACCTGACAGTTACACTAACAAACATCAATACATTTTACCATCACTGTGATACAGCTATAAAGTAGAATGTGGTGAAGACTCTCACTGACACAGCCATTCACCATCACTGTGATACAGCTATAAAGTAGAATGTGGTGAAGACTCTCACTGTCACAGCCATTCACCATCACTGTCACAGCCATTCACTCTCACTGTCACAGCCATTCACAATCTCTGTCACAGCCATTCACCATCACTGTGATACAGCTATAAAGTAGACATCACAGTGTCACAGCCATTCACCATCACTGTCACAGCCATTCACTCTCACTGTCACAGACACAGCCATTCACCATCACTGTGATACAGCTATAAAGTAGAATGTGGTGAAGACTCTCACTGTCACAGACTCTCACTGTCACAGCCATTCACAATCTCTGTCACAGCCATTCACCATCACTGTGATACAGCTATAAAGTAGAATGTGGTGAAGACTCTCACTGTCACAGTCATTCACCATCACTGTGATACAGCTATAAAGTAGAATGTGGTGAAGACTCTCACTGTCACAGCCATTCACTATCACTGTCACAGCCATTCACAATCTCTGTCACAGCCATTCACCATCACTGTGATACAGCTATAAAGTAGAATGTGGTGGAGACTCTCACTGACACAGCCATTCACCATCACTGTGATACAGCTATAAAGTAGAATGTGGTGAAGACTCTCACTGTCACAGTCATTCACCATCACTGTGATACAGCTATAAAGTAGAATGTGGTGAAGACTCTCACTGTCACAGCCATTCACTAACACTGTCACAGCCATTCACAATCTCTGTCACAGCCATTCACCATCACTGTCACAGCCATTCACAATCTCTGTCACAGCCATTCACAATCTCTGTCACAGCCATTCACTAACACTGTGATACAGCTATAAAGTAGTAGTAGAATGTGGTGAAGACTCTCACTGTTACAGCCATTCATCATCACTGTCACAGCCATTCACCATCACTGTGATACAGCTATAAAGTAGAATGTGGTGAAGACTCACTGACACAGCCATTCACCATCACTGTGATACAGCTATAAAGTAGAATGTGGTGAAGACTCTCACTGTCACAGCCATTCACCATCACTGTGATACAGCTATAAAGTAGAATGTGGTGAAGACTCTCACTGACACAGCCATTCACCATCACTGTGATACAGCTATAAAGTAGAATGTGGTGAAGACTCTCACTGTCACAGCCATTCACCATCACTGTGATACAGCTATAAAGTAGAATGTGGTGAAGACTCTCACTGTCACAGTCATTCACCATCACTGTGATACAGCTATAAAGTAGTAGTAGAATGTGGTGAAGACTCTCACTGTCACAGCCATTCACCATCACTGTGATACAGCTATAAAGTAGAATGTGGTGACACAGCCATTCACCATCACTGTCACAGCCATTCACCATCACTGTGATACAGCTATAAAGTAGAATGTGGTGAAGACTCTCACTGACACAGCTATTCAACATCTTTGTGATATAGTTATAACTAGGTCAAACAAACCACACAGCTATACTGAACCTACGTTAAATCTCATTTCCACAGCAATGTACTTTAAACACGTTTGAATAAAATCAGATTATAAAATGTAAATTATCAGAATAATCAAACTGGCTCAAATTAAAAAACAATTCAACAAGAGAGGAAAGACACACTGGAATCCAAAGTTTCTACATGCATTAAACCAAGTGCTAAAAATAGAATATGAATAAAATATGTATAGTAACCTGTGAGTGCTAATTAATCTGTTGGTCTATAAACTGTTTATGTTCACTTGAAACCTAAGATATACATTATCAGTTTTCTCTCGTTCTGATATCTTAAACAGAATCATTAGGATTATCTTGCCATAAAAATCTGATTCCTTTTTCCTGTTTAAAAACTTCTTTAATAGACTTTATTAATCCTTTAAAAAAACTAGAAAAACAAAAAAATCTTATGAGTAAAAACATCAGCAATACACAAACAATTCTTAAAGTTTCCTGTCAATAAATGTCCTCTGATGATATATAGGTAGTACAAAGTTCTCAGTGGTCCTAGGACTGTGTTATATACTGGTACAGAACCAAGTTAATCCTAAGTAGATTTAGGATGAACTACACTATACCATTTTCCTACACAAGTAACATCAGTCAATGTACATTGTGTGCTTTAGAAATCAAATGCTAAAACTGAACTCAAACTTTATGAAACAAAATACATATAGCCTTAGTGTTTCATACAAAGCACTGTCCTGTAACAAGAGTGGTGAGACATGTCTCCCATACCACCGAGTAAGCACTAAGAGGTTGACACAACACCAAACGAGCACACATTTGCACTAGATTATCATGTATACCTTTAACAAAACACTAAAGCAAAAACAGAATCTCATTTAATATGACAATTATCCCTCATCTGTAAAGTATCAAAATAACCTAGTCAGTAACATATAGTATAAATAATATTTAAAACATCAGTTTGGAACTGTTCATTCAGAATGAAGAGATTTTCAAACTTTGTTAGAAAGATTTTTTACCAGGTTAAAAAAAAAACTGGTTTAGGCAAACCTTACTAGTACAAGTGTTAAGGCCAAGATTAAGTGCACATAATAGTACAAAAGTGTGATGCAGTATCACTAGATCAATACATGATGACAGTGTAACACCAATGTGTACATGCCATAAAATTATGTATATACAGCACAGCATTATCGAAACAAGTAAACTGATACAAGTATAGAATCATGTGTACATGTCACAAAATGATGTGTACATGTGACAGAATCTTGTATACCTGTCACAAAATCTGGGTACATGTGACAGAATCATGTGTACATGTGACAGAATCTTGTATACCTGTCACAAAATCTGGGTACATGTGACAGAATCATGTGTACATGTCACAGAATTATGTGTACCTGTCACAGAATCTTGGGTACATGTGACAGAATCATGATTACATGTCACAGAATCATGTGAACATGTCACAGAATCTTGAGTACATGTCATGGAATCCTGTGTACATGGACAAACTTGTATTATTGGTGACAAGCACAGGCCGGTGGACATTGTTGTCTGTATATGTTGCAGACTCCCTGAAGTTACTTTACATCACAAATACATACAGACATATTTAGAACACTAGTCCAGCATCTTTTGCCATTCCATAAAATACAGAGTCCTTATCTTGTAACAAGACATGAGGAGCTTTATATTCACGAATTACCCCGGCGTCCAACACCATAATCCTGAAAAAAAAGAAAGATTTATCAAATTTTGGAGGAAAAAAGTCATTGCTTTGTATTTGGAGTCTGTGCTTACCTCAGAATACTTTATATAAACCTAAAACCTGTTGATTTATGAAAAACACAATCAAGCATTTACCGCAAAAGTACTTGACATAAACCCAAAGCCTGTTTGTTCATTATGAAAGAACAACCATATGTTTATCCTGTAAGTGCTTTAAAACACCCACAGTCTGTAAATTTTTGAAATAACAACAGGATCATAATGTGTTTAATGATACAAGATAATGTGTTTAATGATACAAGATAATGTGTTTAATGATACAAGATAATGTGTTTAATGATATAAGATAGCTTGTGATTTTTGTTGAGAAGACCATATAAGTACTGGTCTGATAAGAACATTAAAATTGTAAAATTGTAACACCACTGGTGAGTAACAGAATCTATGTCTAGTGACATGAAAATAAGTATCAGGAAACACAGGTAAGGTGTTCAGATCTGTATGTCTGTGAAGCAAATCGTAAGGTAAGATACCTACAGATTTGTACTAAGTATAAGTATTGATGGTAAATGTACAATGTATGGTACAATTACTAATATCTATATTTATACTGAGTTAAATGCATTCTGATACAACCATATTTACTTAGATTTTAACATGTGTTATAAATGATAGGTCACCAAGACTTGTTCTAAACAAAGCACATGGGTTTTAATCATGAAAATGTTTACTTGTCATAATCCATGATTGTATTGAGCCTGTGGGCGATTGTTAGAATGGTACAGTCATGGAACTCTGTCCGGATGGTGTTCTGTATCAGATCATCAGTCTCTAGGTCTACTGCTGCTGTCGCCTCATCTAGCACAAGGATCTTTGTCTTTCTCAGCAAAGCCCGGGCCAGGCATACCAACTGTCTCTGTCCAACACTGATATAAAAAGTACAAAAATGATTTTTAGGACATATATACCAACTGTCTCTGTCTCACACTGGTAGCAGTAATACAGTTGATAAACAGTTTTAAATACTTGCATGTAATAGTCTACAGCATACTGATTTATAAGTTTTCCACATTACTACAGAAACTTTGTTTTGAGTTAAGTAAACCCATATAAAGCTACAAAATCAGTTCAGTTTTAAGCCAAAAACTGAAAAAACCTAACACAAATCAAATCTGTTTGTAATCTATGAATGTCTTTGTTTCTATTTAAAGTAAATATTCCGGTATGACAAATTTCTATAAATAATCACAGTGATTTTGATCTTGCTACCCTTTAACATGAACTTGTCAGATCATTTCTTTTTATGAAAATTTATCAAAATCCCCAATGAAATGAAACTGTTTAAACAGTGGGGCATAAAAAGAGCAACAAATTAAGAATGATACCATCTTGACTTACCTGAGGTTTTCACCCCCTTCAGAACATTCGTGTAATAATTCTGTAGGAAGTTCCTTCACGAACTTTTTAAGATGGGCATGTTCTAGTGCTCTCCATAGGTCTGCATCAGTGTATTGCTCAAAAGGATCGAGATTCATCTTAAGTGTGCCAGAAAATAGAACCGGCTCCTACAACACAAAAGCTTTCTGTAATTACCCAGTGATGGGTGGTTAGGTGGCACAGAGGTAACACTCTCTCCTTTCACCTAGTCATACAGGGTTTGATTCCCAGAACAGATGTGAAAAGGTAGGGGGTCACCTGTCTGACTTTGCAGGTTTTCCCACAATACTCTGGTTTCCTCCTATAGCAAGGCCCACAAGTGCTGACATGCAGGCCAACAAGAGTGATAAGTACAAGTTGCTATAACTTATTTTACAATTGTTGCAAAAAATGAATTAAGTTACAAATTTATTGCACATTACAGAAACTTCTGAAAAATGACACTAAACTACAATGACTATACAGAAAACCTCTGTATAACATACCACTACCTATATAGACAATCTCTGTATATAGACAAACTGTGTAACATACCACTGCCCATATAGACAATCTCTGTATATAGACAAACTGTTTAACATACCACTGCCCATATAGACAATCTCTGTATATAGACAAACTGTGTAACGTACCACTGCCCATATAGACAATCTCTGTTTATAGACAAACTTTGTGTAACATACCACTGCCCATATAGACAATCTCTGTTTATAGACAAACTCTGTAACATAAAACTGCCCATATAGACAATCTCTGTATATAGACAAACTGTGTAACATACCACTGCCCATATAGGCAGACCTCTGTATATAGACAAACTGTGTAACATACCACTGCCCATATAGACAATCTCTGTATATAGACAAACTGTGTAACATACACCTGCCCATATAGACAATTTCTGTATGTAGACAAACTGTGTAACATACCACTGCCCATATAGACAGACCCCTGTATATAGACAAACTCTGTGTAACATACCACTGCCCATATAGGCAGACCCCTGTATACAGACAAACTCTGTATAACATACCACTGCCCATATAAGCAGACCCCTATATACAGACAAACTTTGTACAGCATGGCACTGTCTATATAGGCCTCTGTTCAATAAACCTCTGTCTATATTAATAACCTCCTTATAACATACCCTTGTCTATATGGACAATCTCAGTAAAAAATACCATTGTCTAGTTGGTCAACCTCTGTATAACATACCCCTGTCTTTATACACAAACATTGTATATTGTACCACTGTCTATGCAGACAATCACTTTATGGCATGCCACTGTTTATTTAGACCTCTGTTTAAAAAACCCTTTCTGTATCAATAACCTCTTTAAAACATAACCCTTCTATATGGATAATATCTATACAACAGCTTCCTGTCTATACAGACAATCTCCTGATAACATACCCTTGTCTATATACATAACAGCAGTATAACAACTTCCTGTCTATACAGACAATCTCCATATAACATACCCTTGTCAATATAGTCTCTGTATAACATACCCTTGTCTATATACATAACAGCAGTATAACAAATTCCTGTCTATACAGAAAATCTCTGCATAAAATACCTGTTTACATACACAACTTCTGTATGACATTCTCCTGTCTTTATGGGCAACCTCTATACAAAACACCTCTGTCTTCGTGCATTAGTAATTCATGTTTAGGTGATACACTATCTACTGGCTTATATATGACTATCTAACAAAATACCACCTTCACCTTACCTGAGGTATAATTGTGATTTTGGATCGTAGATCATGCAGTCCGAGTGAGGAGATATCAATCCCATCTATGATGATACTGCCCTGGGCCTTCTCTATGATGCGGAATAATGCTAAGGTCAGAGAGGACTTTCCTGCTCCGGTTCTTCCCACAATTCCAACCTGACAATCAAAGGAAATACACACAGAGTCTTTATCTATTTACCTGTATACATCAGGTTATAACAACAGGTGGTAAAGAAACAAATATTTGTTCCGCTGTTCTGAAATTCACTATTCTTACTCAGCAGAGACACACAACCGGAATGAAAGCTTCATGTTTCTTCTGAGAAGCCATACAATACTGATAGATAAACATTCAACAAAAGTTTAAATCAAGACAAAGGAAGAAAAACAATTCATTCCTGGTGTACCTACCTTTTCTCCAGGCTGTACCTCACAACTGATCCCTTTTAGGACAAGGTCCAGACCCTCCCGATACCTTGTGCCATAATTTTGAAATGACACCTTTCCAGAATCTGGCCATTTCGGGTCAGGCTTCTTGTCCTCTATGTCCCAAGGAGCCTGCAACATTGCATTATAAAAAGGATTTATTTTCAGATTCTGTCAGTTCAAACACAACTGTCAACTATGATTTCAAATTTGTTTGGTAAAACTTTTATCATCATTTCTTCCAGCAATGCCATATGACCAATACTTTAACTCTAGACTTTATCATTATGCAGATGATATGATTGATTTCAAACAGACAATATAAGTTAAATGAATGTTGGATTAAAACAATTCTTTTTTAAGAATGTTTCCGTGACCTCACCTCTAAGCTAATAACATCTACCAGTCATCATATCTAAGTAAGTAGCAGACATTTTAGTCCATGCCTTACTTAGAAAAAGTACAAATCCTGCCACTGTGAGTGTGTATAAGTAGCCTCCCTTTGTAGAGGTCTAAGTGTTACCTGCCTCTGTGAGTGTGTATAAGTAGCCTCCCTTTGTAGAGGTCTAAGTGTTACCTGCCTCTCTGCGTGTGTACAGTGTGTAGAGTTATTTAAGTAACCTGCCTCCCTGAGTGTGTATAAGTAGCCTCCCTTTGTAGAGGTCTAATAGTTACCTGACTCTGTGAGTGTGTATAAGTAGCCTCCCTATGTAGAGGTCTAAGTGTTACCTGCCTCTGTGAGTGTGTATAAGTAGCCTCCCTATGTAGAGGTCTAAGTGTTACCTGCCTCTGTGAGTGTGTATAAGTGTGTAGAGGTCTAAGTGTTACCTGCCTCTGTGAGTGTGTATAAGTAGCCTCCCTTTGTAGAGGTCTAAGTGTTACCTGCCTCTCTGCGTGTGTACAGTGTGTAGAGTTATTTAAGTAACCTGCCTCCCTGAGTGTGTACAGTGTGTAGAGTTTTTTTAAGTAACCTGCCTCCCTGAGTGTGTATAAGTAGCCTCCCTTTGTAGAGGTCTAAGTGTTACCTGCCTCTGTGAGTGTGTATAAGTAGCCTCCCTTTGTAGAGGTCTAAGTGTTACCTGCCTCTCTGCGTGTGTACAGTGTGTAGAGTTATTTAAGTAACCTGCCTCCCTGAGTGTGTATAAGTAGCCTCCCTTTGTAGAGGTCTAAGTGTTACCTGCCTCTGTGAGTGTGTATAAGTAGCCTCCCTTTGTAGAGGTCTAAGTGTTACCTGCCTCTCTGCGTGTGTACAGTGTGTAGAGTTATTTAAGTAACCTGCCTCCCTGAGTGTGTATAAGTAGCCTCCCTTTGTAGAGGTCTAATAGTTACCTGCCTCTGTGAGTGTGTATAAGTAGCCTCCCTATGTAGAGGTCTAAGTGTTACCTGTCTCTGTGAGTGTGTATAAGTAGCCTCCCTATGTAGAGGTCTAAGTGTTACCTGCCTCTGTGAGTGTGTATAAGTAGCCTCCCTTTGTAGAGGTCTAAGTGTTACCTGCCTCTGTGAGTGTGTATAAGTAGCCTCCCTTTGTAGAGGTCTAAGTGTTACCTGCCTCTCTGCGTGTGTACAGTGTGTAGAGTTATTTAAGTAACCTGCCTCCCTGAGTGTGTATAAGTAGCCTCCCTTTGTAGAGGTCTAAGTGTTACCTGCCTCTATGAGTGTGTATAAGTAGCCTCCCTATGTAGAGGTCTAAGTGTTACCTGCCTCTGTGAGTGTGTATAAGTAGCCTCCCTTTGTAGAGGTCTAAGTGTTAACTGCCTCTCTGCGTGTGTACAGTGTGTAGAGTTTTTTTTTAAGTAACCTGCCTCCCTGAGTGTGTATAAGTAGCCTCCCTTTGTAGAAGTCTAATAGTTACCTGCCTCTGTGAGTGTGTGTAAGTAGCCTCCCTATGTACAGGTCTAATAGTTACCTGCCTCTCTGAGTGTGTATAAGTAGCCTCCCTATGTAGAGGTCTAATAGTTACCTGCCTCTCTGAGTGTGTATAAGTAGCCTCCCTATGTAGAGGTCTAATAGTTACCTGCCTCTGTGAGTGTGTATAAGTAGCCTCCCTTTGTAGAGGTCTAAGTGTTACCTGCCTCTGTGAGTGTGTATAAGTAGCCTCCCTATGTAGAGGTCTAAGTGTTACCTGCCTCTGTGAGTGTGTATAAGTAGCCTCCCTATGTAGAGGTCTAAGTGTTACCTGCCTCTGTGAGTGTGTATAAGTAGCCTCCCTATGTAGAGGTCTAAGTGTTACCTGCCTCTGTGAGTGTGTATAAGTAGCCTCCCTTTGTAGAGGTCTAAGTGTTACCTGCCTCTGTGAGTGTGTATAAGTAGCCTCCCTTTGTAGAGGTCTAAGTGTTACCTGCCTCTCTGCGTGTGTACAGTGTGTAGAGTTATTTAAGTAACCTGCCTCCCTGAGTGTGTATAAGTAGCCTCCCTTTGTAGAGGTCTAATAGTTACCTGCCTCTGTGAGTGTGTATAAGTAGCCTCCCTATGTAGAGGTCTAAGTGTTACCTGCCTCTGTGAGTGTGTATAAGTAGTCTACCTCCAGGGTCTATTAGAAGCACCACGGTAGAGGCTTATGAATAACCTATCTCTGTAACAGTCTATAAATCCTTTCTATGTATAGGCGTATAAATAGCCTACCTCAGTGGGAGTCTCCGAGTACTCCTTCACTCTCTCTACAGCTACAATGTTGGTCTCCAGTTCACAGGTCATCCTCACCAGCCAGTTTAGGGTCTGTGTCACCTACAACAACAACAGCACATTAGAACTATTAATGGTACATACACTGTGAATTGGAATAATTACGTAAAACTGATAATAAATGACCACACACATAATTCTCAACTTATATTTTCTAAATCATGGTCACAATTACTTTAATGTAATGCTACTGACATGATATGCAAAACTGACAATTCGATTGAATTTTATTAATTTTGTTTATCTTTTTTAATTTGGTTCAAATATCAAATATATGGAAAAAAAGTTTGTGGAATCTCAACACACAATCATCATTTCTTTTGAAATAATGATAAAAGGAGTCATTAAAGTGATGAAGATGTTTAATTAATTTAAAATGTCTTGAATGCTTAAGTCATGATTCAGAATTGAACAAGGTTATTTTAAGTATTATACACAAATATACCACACCATTCAGCAGCCAGAATAATAGACTTACATTTAAGGCATATGTGATGGAAAGACCGACCAGACCAGCTGAGAGTTCATTACGTCCAATGACAGCAAATAATGCAGCAAAGAACACGATACAGTTAGCCACAAACTCCAGACGGATAGCTAGCCATCTGTGGGAAATAAGGCAAAAGGTCTCATCAATATCTGTTGGACAGCATAAGGACAAATTAATCATGCTCAGGTTTTCATATCTGAATAAGCTGATGACAGAGTGACCAGCAATTTGTATGAAAATGATATTAAAAAAAAAAAAAAGATTACCATAATTACCCGGCAATAAGCCCACCTTCTGACTTAATGCCTGAACTTCCCCGTAGGCCACTGATCCTAGTATAAGGTAACTACCAGGTATCTATATCACTCATCCTCTGACTTAGTGCCAGAACTCCTGTGTAGGCCCGTGTAGGCCTCTGGTCCTCGTGTATGGTAACTACCTAAGTAACCCACCCTCTGACTTAGTGCCTGAACTCCTGTGTAAGCCTGTGTAGGCCTCTGGTCCTAGTGTATGGTAACTACCTAAGTAACCCACCTTCTGCCTTAGTGCCTGAACTCCTGTGTAGGCCTCTGGTCCTAGTGTATGGTAACTACCTAAGTAACCCACCATCTGACTTAGTGCCTGAACTCCCGTGTAGGCCTCTGGTCCTAGTGTATGGTAACTACCTAAGTAACCCACCCTCTGACTTAGTGCCTAAACTCCTGTGTAGGCCTGTGTAGGCCTCTGGTCCTAGTGGTAACAACCTAAGTAACCCACCCTCTGACTAAGTGCCTGAACTCATGTGTAGGCCTGTGTAGGCCTCTGGTCCTAGTGTATGGTAACTACCTAAGTAACCCACCCTCTGACTTAGTGCCTGAACTCCCGTGTAGGCCTGTGTAGGCCTCTGGTCCTAGTGTATGGTAACTACCTAAGTAACCCACCATCTGACTTAGTGCCTCTGGTCCTAGTGTATGGTAACTACCTAAGTAACCCAACTCTCCGTGTAGGCCTCTGGTCCTAGTGTATGGTAACTACCTAAGTAACCCACCATCTGACTTAGTGCCTGAACTCCCGTGTAGGCCTCTGGTCCTAGTGTATGGTAACTACCTAAGTAACCCACCTTCTGTCTTAGTGCCTGAATTCCTGTGTAGGCCTGTGTAGGCCTCTGGTCCTAGTGTATGGTAACTACCTAAGTAACCCACCATCTGACTTAGTGCCTGAACTCCCGTGTAGGCCTCTGGTCCTAGTGTATGGTAACTACCTAAGTAACCCACCTTCTGTCTTAGTGCCTGAACTCCTGTGTAGGCCTGTGTAGGCCTCTGGTCCTAGTGTATGGTAACTACCTAAGTAACCCACCCTCTGACTTAGTGTCTGAACTCCTGTGTAGGCCTCTGGTCCTAGTGTATGGTAACTACCTAAGTAACCCACCATCTGACTTAGTGCCTGAACTCCTGTGTAGGCCTCTGGTCCTAGTGTATGGTAACTACCTAAGTAACCCACCATCTGACTTAGTGCCTGAACACCTGTGTAGGCCTGTGTAGGCCTCTGGTCCTAGTGTATGGTAACTACCTAAGTAACCCACCTTCTGATTTAGTGCCTGAACTCCCGTGTAGGCCTCTGGTCCTAGTGTATGGTAACTACCTAAGTAACCCACCATCTGACTTAGTGCCTGAACTCCTGTGTAGGCCTCTGGTCCTAGTGCATGGTAACTACCTAAGTAACCCACCTTCTGATTTAGTGCCTGAACACCTGTGTAGGCCTCTGGTCCTAGTGCATGGTAACTACCTAAGTAACCCACCTTCTGACTTAGTGCCTGAACTCCAGTGTAGGCCTGTGTAGGCCTCTGGTCCTAGTGTATGGTAACTACCTAAGTAACCCACCTTCTGATTTAGTGCCTGAACTCCCGTGTAGGCCTCTGGTCCTAGTGTATGGTAACTACCTAAGTAACCCACCATCTGACTTAGTGCCTGAACTCCCGTGTAGGCCTCTGGTCCTAGTGTATAGTAACTACCTAAGTAACCCTTATACCTACCATCCATTGTACCCTCATTCTTCTATAGAGAAAAGTTGATGTTTAACTTAGATATACTATTCAATGTATATTAAGAGAATCAAAACACAGCGGGAAAATAAAATTGGTTCAACTTTTCAGCAGAACATTCATCCTTCATGATTGATTAATTTTGAATAATAATATGCTTCTGTACATGTAGTACCAAGATAAGAAAAGCATGTTATAATATAGTGGTATACCTTCCAGCATGATAGCTGTTGTAGAAAGGACCAGACATGTTGTTCAAAGTTTCCTTACCTATTCGCTACGATACTGGGGAAGTAACAAATATTATTTTCATCAACTTTCCCCTCAGACTCGCTGATGAAGCGTTCCTGTTGTCTGTAAGCACGAATTGTCATTACTCCGGTCACTGTCTCCCCAAAGTGAGAGTAGATTGGGGACCGACTCACAGATTCTAGTCTCTTCAGCTGACGAGATGTTGCCACGTAAAACCTCTGTTAACACAAATATCACAGGTTAGTCGGACAATTAACTAGATTCTCAATACCAGTTTATTGTAGTGTATCACAAATTAAACTATTAAATTTAAACCTTGTCATATTTAAAATCCTTTATTCTTTCAAGTTTCATTTTTTCATATTTTGAAATTATACATGAAAAAAAAGCATTATGAAATTCACATATTTTTTCAAAAATTTTAACAGCAATTTTTTTAAAAGTTGTATACTTTCTAATACATGTAATGATAAATGGATAAACTATAAAACTGATCATATATAAATACTTCAATAACACACCAACAGAATGGCAGTGCTACATTGAGTGAAGCATGCATTGGTTAGTAAACAACTGAATGAGCAGGTGTGTAAGCATGATACATGTTAAAGGTTAACACAGGAAAAAACCGCATGCAGCAAGCCAGTAAAGGTACAAGCCAATATATATATATAAATGTCTTAATGTTTGAATAGGTAAAGGTCTGTATATAAATACATTGGCTATATCGGTTTACCCTTCCCTCCTCTCCTCCAATACCATCTAAATTTATGTGAGAAATCCTCCCTCCAAGTTCTATCTTGCTTTATCACACCATCTAAAATTATGTGAGAAATCCTCCCTCCAAGTTCTATCTTGCTTTATCAAACCATCTAAAATTATGTGAGAAATCTTCCCTCCAAGTTCTATCTTGCTTTATCACACCATCTAAATTTATGTGAGAAATCCTCCCTCCAAGTTCTATCTTGCTTTATCACACCATCTAAATTTATGTGAGAAAACAATGGCAGGAAAATATGTACTTCTGAGATACACAATATAATACACAACAGTGAGATCTTTTTTAAACAAACTAGAGTATGATGTCAGGCACAATTTTTTTCTTTGATTAACTGCAGTTTGATGAGAAAACTTTTCTAGAATATGTATGTGGCTCTCCAACAATTTTTTTTTCAATTTGAAGGCTAAATACATTTATAATGTCACTTTCCTGTAAAAACCTCAGCAGCTGGGGATGATTTCTAGTGGTTTGTTGTTTCTCCACTGTTGGTATATTGATTTTTCTCAATGGACTTTAAAATTTAATTTTTCAGAACAATGTCAATAATATCTATTGATGATTTTTCCTTCACTTCAGGCATGATATTTCCTGTTATTTTGACCTTCCAGTAACTTGTGCGAAAGACGCTCCAATAATATAAAGTGAAAAAGCTACTGACTCTATAACTTCTCGATATGAAAATCTCATGAAAGTATGATAATCTTAAATCTTACAAAACATTCACAGAAAACCATCCACTGGTAAACATCAAAGCAAAGAGCATATGTTAAGGTGTACTCCTATGTACAGAAAGAGTTGATTTTCAGTTGCTGTGTTGAGGTAACAAACATCTGACCTAAGGTAAAGATGTAAAGATAACTCTAATCTCCATCAAAATTAGAGAGCGTTAGCATTAGAATGCTTATAAATGAGAACATATAGTAAGCCAGCACAACAATTCACAGGCTGAACTGTTCTACTTAGATATAGGAGTAATAATACATATATCAGTGAATATACTTAATACCAACACAATACATATCTGTATGTGATAATGACAGAATTAATGGCTGGAAAGCAATTAAGATATATTGAATGCCTCCAGTCTGAGATTTCATGTTTAAAGGGTTAACCATATCCATAATAAATTCTGAATTCGGCAGTGGATTAAGATACTACTGATGTCTACTTAAGCTGTCCCTGGATATCACACGGTACCGTTACCTAGCTGCTTATACTCAGGACATGTACATGATGACCATAAACATGCTGGTGGTGCTTCTAATCATAGTCATGAAGTGCTGACAAAATCCAAGAAAATGTGGAGAAACATTTTAAGCACTAAATATTATCACAAGATTAAAAGTGTCCACACATCTTGATTATCAGTGAATATGTCATGCTAGCTGTTGATGAAAATACTTTTAAAATGGCTATAGCATAATAAATACATACAGCAACACAAAGATGATATCTGAATGTTTTAACAGGCATAGATCACAAAGCAGGGCACATACTTAATTATCAGTTGTCATAGACTACTACATATTACAGATTTCAGAGAATAAAAAGTAATTATTGACAGGAGTAAGTACACATACTGCTAAAACTCAGACCTGTACAAAGATAACTATATCCTCTTTATCATGGAAACAGAACTACTTCAAACCAATTAATTTTCAAAGTAATTCAGTTTTTGCAATTCTACTCAGTCTAACAATTTTGTGATGATATATTTTCACAATTTTGTAGTCTTTAATTGTTGTTGTCACTATATCTTTATTCACTGTGTATCACAATGCCAAGCAGCATTACTCCCAAGAGCTGTACAGATCTAAGTGACAACAAAGTCAAGCAGTTCTGCAGTAGATATCTACAGACTTTTTGAATTCACTAGATGTAGAAAAATAGAACTTTTGGCAGATCAATGGAATATGGTACACAATAATTTTATGCATGATCGCTATTCTTGGATAAATAGACTGATACATGGAGTAAGTGTATCTTGTTATGAAACATGCATAACCATATCCGGAATTGATGGACATGTACAGTTATGATGTGAAGGCAAATGATTTTCAAAATATTTCTGACTCGTAAACACCATGAAGGAAAATTATCACATTTACTTTGTAAATGGCTCTATGTTAAAGTACTCACTTTAATTTGTTTCAATTTCTTTGTACATTGTCAGTTCTGTCATGTTATTCAATATGGAATGAAATAAAATGTTAATATCAAAATGATCAGAAATATTTGTTGGTTGGTCATATTCACTCTGTTTACGTTTACAAAACCATTCTCTCCCATTAATACGGTTTCAGTAGCAGCTTGCTATATCTTTCTCATTTATAAAGCTGCAGTTCAAACTCAATAAAACTCAGTTTCCTACTGATGCCGTTATTGCTACGTACTATGTTTATAGCCATCTAGTAATACTGAATAGCAATGATGGGTCCAGTGTAACAGTGAGAAATCAAAACTTATGTTGGGTGTGGATGCCAATGTCAATGAAAAAATAATAATTATGACACATTTACACTCCTTCTATGCAATTTAAAATATAATAACTTTCTATTTGATTGTCTGCGGCTAGCAACTTTCCATATCATTTTAAATTACGTAAAGTGTGACATTTCATGGCATGCATGTCATACTTTGAATAAATATTTAAAGAAAAAAAAGCACAAGCATAAATATAAGCCCCCAAAACCAATATTGTTGTCAAAATGAATTTCTAATTTTAACTGCACTGATCAGATACCAGGTCTAATTTAACATCAACAATCCAAGCTTATTTGGATATCAATAAATCATGGAACTCTTTCAAATTTAGTCATAGGTTACAGGTAAAGATAACGTAACTTCTATCTCACGAATACTTTATTCCGCGCAATTGCCTCTTCAGACATGTTTGCGAAAACAAATGTACATCGCACATGATTTCGCAAACAGTGATCTAGAAATGACTTGAAATTTGTGAATGATGGAGTATTAGATATATGAATTCTGATAATGGTAACCAAATCAGCAAGGATGTCATCCCGAATTCTTTCTGTACGAGGGATTTGAATTCACTATTAACTCTCCTTGTGTATTAACACAGATATAAATACAACATAAAATACAAGTGATTCAAGTAATCTAATTGTTTCATTTCCAAAACAGCCATTGATGCAATGTTGTAGTAGAGATATGATGGAAACATATGCTATAATTTCAGTGTAAAACCATTTCTATTCTCTATGGCTATTACAGGACAATTGAATTTTCAAAATATAGGTTGTTTAATTCAATACTTATGGATTAATTTTCCCACAAAATTCCTACCATTCCTGATGAATAACCCGGTAGACCAGTAATATGAAATATTTTCATCAATTTACATTGAATTATGAAATAAATGATTGAGAAAACGGCATTTGTTTCATGATGTTTTGTACACCTGATTTAGAGTTGGATTGTCACTATTATTCTATACACTGCTACAGCAACACAGGGACTTTATACAAACTAACCAACACAAGACACAGACATAACTGTATTCCAACCAGTCATTGCCATATTTTCAAGATATTTGTCACTACAAGAAACAATACTTCTATCAATGATTAGATTCAAGAAAAATCTTGCTAGTTTCTGGAAAAGTACTGACCAATCACATCACAGGTATCAGACACAAAATATCTGCTGATGATAATAGAAGCATTTAGACGGTCACAATTTGTTGATAAGAACCAAACTTGACAGTGACTCCAGGTACTTTTCAACCAATGAAATGCATGAAATAGAACTTAAATGAGAAAAAAATACAAATATCAAACAAGACCTGCAATACACATACTATGAAAGGTATTCAAAGTTCATGACAATAAAGAGACTATCAGATTATGTAACAATTTGCTACCTTATCCCCTAAATTTAGATTTGCAAATTTAGTTTGACCATTTCATAAAGTTTTCAAGGCTTCTTTTAGATCATATTATTGGAATGACATTTCCAAATATTTACCAAATAAGTGGTAGAACTTGATGGCAGTAACAGGTTGAAAGTAAGCGTAGTAGGTTTCACCACACAAATACACAAGCAACAATGACAACTTCAACTGCCAAAGAGCAGTACCTGGATGGTGATGTAAACAACTCCTAGGGGTACAATGACAGCCAAAAACATGGTGGTTGACATTGAGATTATCACCATAGTGCTCACAACCTGGAGAAAGCACACCATGAAGGCCTTGAACAGCTCAGGAATGACAAGATCAATGGTATCCACATCTTTGGAGAAGCGGTTGGTGATGCGACCTAACGGGGTTGTGTCAAAAAAATTCATGGGTGACCTTATGACTCGGTGAAGGATGTTTGTGTGGAGAGTTGTTGTGGCACGGATGGAGCCTTTGGCCATACACAGTGAGGCAGACACTACAAAAAGGCCTGGGGAAACACAAGACATACATGTCTAAGTGTAAGACAGATTGTTTACTGAACATGATCAGGGCTTCCCTTCATTCAGGGACACACTTAATGTCTTTTGTCTGCAACATCTGAAATCTTAAAATTTACATATAATTACATGCTGTAACCTACTGACTAATTTCTTTGCTTCAATTTACTATCTAAGCACAACACAAACCATCAACAACAACATTGTTACCTATATCTTAGCTTCTTTGTGTAACTTAAACTACAACCTGGACAAAATATACCAATACAATTCACCTAGGTTACCATGACAACTACAATAACAAATCATTTGGTAGAAAAGAAGCAAGCAATCACCATCTCACTATTCTGTTCACTGACAACAGCATATAGAACAAGAGACCACACAAAATCGACCTTTTACTATACTCCAATAGTACTCTGTCACCTGACTCACGACAATCACTGGCTATTGGTAGGAAGAAAGAATTCCTGAAGACATGCAAATTAAGTGGTTTTTGGATCATACTTTAAGCTAAGCTAACATTAACAAGAGTATCAGCGTAACAGATGAATACTCCCCGAAAACAACTTAATTGGACACAAAATTTTAACAAGGGGCAATCAATCTAAAATGAAAACAACTTAATTGGACACAAAATTTTAACAAGGGGCAATCAATCTGTATTTAAGGGGTTTCAGGCCTTGAATATGGTGCTCTGCACTTTCTCTAAGTAAGACAAATGTACACATCAAGTTTCATTATCCTAGCTAAAATGAAAGTTAACTTATGCTCTGAACAAAGGGCATTAACTCTGTAATTAAGGGATTGCAGATCCTGAATTTGGTACAATGCACATTTTTTTAGTAACCATTGTATACAACAATTTTTCATATTCTAGTTTTAATGCAAGCAAAGTTATGCTCATGACACAAACTTTTATCAAAGGCAATAACTTTGAAATTAAGGCATCATGGCCCTCGACTTTGTTACACTACACATTGATTTTGTAAGACTATTGTATACATCATGTTTCATTATCCAAGTTTAAATGCAGGCAAAGTGATGCTTTGGACTCAAAAGAATTACCAAAGGGCAATAACTCTCTAATAAAGGGGTTGCAGGCTCTGAATTTCAAAATTATATTCCGGACATGAGAGGACGGACAGATGGACAGTACAACAACAACCATATGCTACAACCAAAATTATTTTGGGGAAAATAATCTAAAACAATCTCCAGGTTTGTAGAGATAACACGAGAACATAATTTTCGTTAGTGGAAAAAGCCATGCATACAACTATACAGACATGAAAATACACAATAAAGAGTCGGTCTCCCTAAAGTAGACAGCCTGTCTCCAGCTTCTTAAGTTGTCATGATAAACAACACCATTCAATGAGTCCGAGTCTGCTTCATAATGATCACTATTTACTGGATAAAGCTTGCACCAACAACATGAATGTCATAAATGTTATAATCTGCCTGTAGTAAAGCAGATGATACTCTATATATAGCCTACTGTGGAAATCTGAGTATGATATTAACTTACTCTGTTAATGACTTGCATATTGTGCAAATTATCTGTGAGAAAAAGTTTCCTTTATTTCATATAAAGCGTGAGTAAGCAAGACAAGGGAAAGAATGTGAGGACTTGACAGTCTACAGCAAATGTCTCAAGGCTCTGTACCTGGATAATGAAGAAAAGATAGCCAAAGACAGGTATTGTGACAGCAAATGTTGGGCTGGTGAAGAGAATGGTCCCAATGAAGGCCATCATTTCAAGAATGGAGTTGATCATAGAGCGAACAGTAAATGGCATAATAAAGTCAATTTCTGCAATGTCTTCAGCGTACCGATTCATGATTCTACCCATGGGGTTCATTTCATAGAAGAGAAGTGGTACCCTGATCAGGCTTTGAAATAAGGCACAGAAAAGTCTTCGGGAAGCCACGATACCTCCAGTAGCCATCACAAAGGCTGACAATGAAACCAGTAGGCCTGTGGAGGAAAAATAAAGACCGTAAGTGAGGGTTTACTACTTCAAAGTGGAGGTGTTTAGGAGTGACAGGCCTTCAGTGAGGGGATACTGTTTCAGAGTGGAGAAGAGAAAGTGGCCTTCAGTATGGTGTTACTTCTTCAAGAGTGGAGGTGTGGAGTAGAGACAAAAGCTTTTAGAGTGGAGAGGAAAAAGAGGCCTTCAGTGGCTCTTTGTGTCTGACCAGCCATTCATACAGAACAGCATTAATGGTGATGTCCTAGAGAGAAATATGATGCTTGTCAGGATTTAAGTCATATAACCACAAGTATGGTGTACTCAAACCCATAATACTGCCCCAGGACAATGTTGTCTGGTGATGACTGTATACAGTGTACATACAATTTTTAAATCTTGAGACAAAATTACCATGATGAATTATCTCCAGATTACCATGGTGAATTATCTCCAGATTACCATGGTGAATTATCTCCAGATCACCATGGTGAATTAACCAGTTTACCATGGTGAATTAATATCAGGTTACCATAGTGAATTACCGGGTAATCCTCGGTTACCATGGTGAATTAATCCCAGATGACCATGGTGAATTAACCCTCGGTTACCATGGTGAATTAATACCAGGTTATGACAGTGATAAGAACATAGTCAATGAAAAGTGTCCACAATAAAAAAGCTAATATGATACAATGATACAGCTTAAACCTTTTCACTTTTTCATACACAGGTACTAATATCTCTCTGACAATGAAGTGTAAAATACAATGAGTGTTGCTACCACCACAAATGCTTGTCCTTATAAATGTCACAGAAATCTATAAAACTACTGCTCAAGAGAACAATTTCCAAGATGCTAAGTCCATTCATAATAAATGGAAGACAACAACTACTTGATGGTCAAGGTCACCCAATCTACTAGAAAAAGGTCAAGGTTGAATGAAAAATACTGTATTCAGGCCAATAATATACTCAACGACTTTAAAAATGCACAAACAAAACATATTTTCCTCCTTTTTAAATTAAAATATCACATGATACATATGCAATGAAAATTTATTTACACAGGTTTGCAATGTCAGTACTCACTTCACTAGATATTGTAATGGGCAGGAATAACAGCTTACAGAAGGACAGACACTGTGGTCAGGAATAACAGCTTACAGAAGGACAGACAATGTGTGGTCAGGAATAACAGCTTACAGAAGGACAGACAATGTGTGGTCAGGAATAACACCTACAGAAGGACAGACACTGTGTGGTCAGGAATAACAGCTTACAGAAGGACAGACACCGTGTGGTCAGGAATAACAGATTACAGAAGGACAGACACCGTGTGGTCAGGAATAACAGATTACAGAAGGACAGACACTGTGTGGTCAGGAATAACAGCTTACAGAAGGACAGACACTGTGTGGTCAGGAATAACAGCTTACAGAAGGACAGACACCGTGTGGTCAGGAATAACAGCTTACAGAAGGACAGACAATGTGTGGTATTGAATAACAGCTTACAGAAGGACAGACACTGTGTGGTCAGGAATAACAGCTTACAGAAGGACAGACACTGTGTGGTCAGGAATAACAGCTTACAGAAGGACAGACACTGTGTGGTCAGGAATAACAGCTTACAGAAGGACAGACACTGTGTGGTCAGCAATAACCACTTACAAAGGACAGACACTGTGTGGTCAGGAATAACAGCTTACAGAAGGACAGACACTGTGTGGTCAGGAATAACAGCTTACAGAAGGACAGACACTGTGTGGTCAGGAATAACAGCTTACAGAAGGACAGACACTGTTTGGTCAGGAATAACAGCTTACAGAAGGGCAGACACTGTACAAAACCATTACGACAATTTACAACTTTTCTGGCATCATTAAAGTCGTTGAGTATATTCGATGTGTTTGCACTAATGAAATTTTGTGCAACATCTTCTACTGCAAAGAATTAAATATCAATACATCAAAACGATAAAGTGATACAACTATACAGAACAGACAAGCACACAATGAGACAAAAGTATGTGGATAAAAAAAAAGGTTAGGCATGATGCTCTGAAATAAAAATAATAATAATAACCTGAATAAGGACGAAAAGAATAATCATTGGTGGCATGATGGTAAGGAACATGGGGGTGCTGAAACCCACGACGACCGGAATGGTTAGCACTTTCAGCAAACATCCAATCCATGAGCGAAGATTCTCAACAATCGTCCTATCTACTGCATCTATATCTTTACCAAACCTGTTGAGTATGCGACCTGATGGTGTTGTGTCAAAAAACAACATTGGTGACGACAAAATATTCCTCAGCATGTCTTTGTGTACCACTCTCCCTGCTCGAATCCCACCATAATACAAGAAACTGGCTTGTAAGTAAACTATTAGCCCTGAAATATGGAATGAAACATGGGAAAGATGAAGTGACTGATGGTCACAAATCTGACTATGTTCAGCCTGACACTCTTCAGGGCATATGTTGTGTATCAAGGACTTTTCAGTGTCTGATCGTCAACGTATACAAACATACAAGATAACCACTGATACATGTATATACTTTTGACCATCAAACCTTCAAATGAATTAAGGTACATTCCAAGCATTACATATCCTACAAGCTTGACAATAAGCTACAGCTTCTATTGTCTTTAGTAATGGTTAAATGGTTTATTTTAAAGGTGATTTGAGATGCAATACCAGACCTTAATACAGAGTTGTCTAACTTTGTCCCAATCAAAAAATGTTTTCTTCGAACATGTACTGATGAAAGTAATTATAAAAAAATAAGTACCTGGTATTCTGTTTAACAACTGAAGCAAATTAACTTTTCTGCCTTATATAAAATTTGCCAATATCAATGTACCACACAATCCAGGACTTCCTAAGCCTAAATTCCATACAAATACAATATGTTTGTATAACTAACACAAAAATGGCCAGTTTGATGTTTAATCTGTAATGATACTACGCAGTTTGTTCTTGCAGACTCTTAGTTTTGTATTCAGGAAAA